CCCCCCCCCCCCCCCCCCCCCCCCCCCCCCCCCCCCCCCCCCCCCCCCCCCCCCCCCCCCCCCCCCCCCCCCCGCCCGCCCCCCCCCCCCCCCCCCCCCCCCCCCCCCCCCCCCCCCCCCCCCCCCCCCCCCCCCCCCCCCCCTGATACTTACTCGGGTGGTTTGGAGGACTTTGGAGAGGCGGGGGAAGTCGCTGATTCCAGCGTCGAGAGTGTCGATGGAGGAGTCGAGGAGGTTGAGAGAGGATTGAAGGGAGTCGACTGATGCGGCGAGCGAGTCAGCCATTGTTTGGAATGTGTAGGAGGGTTGGAATAATTGCACAGGAAGATGAATTGTTCAAGACTGACTGACAGCAAATATGGGATGTATGCAATGTTTGTTATGGTTGTTTCCAGGCGGGGCGATAATCCGGTAAAGGCGGCCACCCGCCAAGACTTACCTACGGCTTAAAGCGGCCGGGCATCGGACCTCCGGGCAAACCTCGTTGTACCCGCTTCTCCTCGTCTTCTCTGCATCATCTCCATCTACTCCTCCAAGTCAAGACCACCTCGTCAAGAAAACCACTTGTCATCATGTCTCTCCTCGGAAAGAAGTTCCCCACCCCCGTCGGTAAGTCTATGCCGCCATATCCTCTTTGTTCCGTCGTATTGCAGCGCGAATATCAACTAACGGATCTCTCAACAGCCCGGCCCATGGCTCCCTTCTTCGCTGCCGGTATGTCGGGTTAAACCTCCCAGATGGATCTTCGGATGCTCAGCGGTCTCGTCTTGTTGCGAGTGACTGGCTCGTGTTGCGTCCTGGATACCTATCGTCTATATTTGTGTCGGCGCTGGTGGTTCCGAAACTAACTGCGATTCCTAGGTGCGGTCATCCTCTACGGTATCAACTCGGCTGCCAACGCCATGATGAACAGTGAGTCCCCCGGTCACATCCTCTGGAGCCCACCCTGCTTGGGATGGGGCATATAACTCCGACGCAAAAGCTTTATTCGGAATGTCAAGAGTGTCAACGCTAACCGCGCTTCTTTCCTACCAGCCGCTGAGTTCAAGAACGACCCCCGCAACCCTAACGCCAAGGCCGTTAAGCACTAAATTAATCCCAATAATCTCGGAGAACGTCAATATGGCGGACGCAGGAGGATTATGGGTGGCTTGATGGGCCCGGATATCTGTTTCGCTTTTGGTTCCGCTCTGCGGGCAGATGCTCTGTACTAGCATATAGAATACACCGTCATCGCACATATTGACGAATTGTCAAGTTGTATCAATAATTTGAAGACTGTAACTCGTGTGTCTTCGACTCTTTCAACTCGAGGGCCACCGACACGGCAAGCGTGCTAGGGGTCTTATGTGCTGGGGGAAGCAACTCTACTGGTGTAAGGGCACGCTGTTGTACAAAGTATGCACGAGACTACTATTCATAGTAGCCGCTGCATCCTGCAGTGCTTAATAGTTCTTTCCTAGCGTGCTCTCAAGCAGTATAAGAACTGGATTGCTCCCATAGCTCGCAGTGTGAACCTGGCCAGGAGCAAACCAGGCATTGAACCTTCCACGACCTAACCAGCAACGTCTCCTGCCCAGGATCAAGTAGACAAAACCATATACCATCTAAATCCATCCTAAATCTGCCGGTTGTTTTCCATAACCAGAGCGGACATCAAATTCTGCTCCCAGCATCGGCCGCCACAAGATCAACAACCACGTATGCCGAGTAAATAAGACTTTATCTGCCTCGATCCATTTGCCACTACACTCTCCATTCAAGAATAACATCCCCGTCCGAGTATCCTACACAATCGAGGCAAATACTCCGCATAAAAAGAGCAGAAGACTATCCGCGCTAAACCCCATACGGCCGCCCCGTGACCGGCGCCAAGACCCGCGGAGAAGCCGTCGAAATCCATCCAAACTGCGGCCAAACCGACAATACTCATTGCGCCTTGTCCCCCAACTCAGATATCCAGTCACCATGTCGTTCTTCCGGTCGAAGAAGCTAGACCTCGGCGGTTTTGTCAACATCCGCGCGATTCGCGACCACACCAAGCGGAAGGCTTTCGAGCAGTACGAGCCCGAACGGTACGATCTACCTACCACCGATCTCAAGAGCAAGGCTGTTGTCGCATAGCTGGGCCTTCACGGTTCTGGCTATATGAGAAACTAGAGGAATTTCTTGGCTAATGTGAGGAATTATACAGCCAAGCTCTGCGCTACATCATCCGCAACACCTCCCTCCCTCAGCGTACCCGCGCGCAGGCTCAATTGCAGCTCACCCAGATGCACGCCTACACCCGTCCCACGCAGATCAAGAACCGTTGTGTTGCAGGTGGTATTGCACGTGGTATTATTCGCGATTTCAGAATTGCCCGAGTAAGTGCTCTCGCTGGCGGTGGTATTCCCGGGATGGACCCAACTAATGTGATCACTTTCTAGTACCAATTCCGAGAACAGGCGCTGGCAGGTGAACTACCAGGTGTGAAGAAGGCAAGCTGGTAGAGGGGAGAGGAAAATATAGAAGGGTTAGAGAATGAGAAGAAGATAAAATGTTGTACACTGCCGAGATATTGCGATATCCATCAATCTCTTTTAGTGGCAACTCGGCCACCTGGTTGGGTTTGATTTGCACGAATGGCGTTTGTTCTCCGTCCTTATTTGAAAATATGTATTATATGCTGAAATGTATATCGACGAGAAATGTATTTCCGGGTCGATTTCAACCACTCACCTAACTTGGAGAGATGTGACGTGAATATGAGTGTTTCGAGTCTCTGGCGTCAGTGATGGAGCAGGCAAATAGCCGAGGCCATTAACCCTCGCCTTCACCGGGCAGGACTTCTGTTAATGTCTTCTGGGTATTCGGGTCATTGAGATGTCTTATTTGCTCGTACAATTCACTTAGGCAAACGAGCTTCGTTTCTTCACGGCTTATCGGGAACCTGCAGCTCTCATATACTTTCTCTTCTCTACCCCCATCTCCTTCTCCTCAGTCTTTCTCTCATCAATTTGTCCACAGGGCACTTTTCCTCACATATCCCATCTCTACGATCCGATATCTCTCTCACAATGTTTGTCTTCCGTCGAGACGACCTCCCAGCAGACCCTGAGTTCCAAGCCCGGCTGGACAAACTGGGGTAAGACAGAACAATCACCCAAACATCTGGAGAACAAACAAACTTACCCCGCGGTCTAGATACTTCATCAATGACAAGGACCAGATCCGCCAAATCTCTGACCCCGAGCAGGATTTCAAGTTCAAAATCAACAGGAACCCAAGATGGAACGAGCGACAGAGAGAAGTGATGAACGGTACGTCCAAGACTCTTCACATTGGTCAATGCTTGTCGATGATGTCTTGACCAAAAAATGCACGAAGCACATAATCCGATACTGATGATAATAATGCTTGCAGCTTGTATCCGAGATATCGTCCTCTCTCGTCTGCGTGCTCTAGGCCTAGCCACCCTAAAACTTCCGCTATTTTCTGCGCCTGGTGATCCTCAGGTTCCAGTCCTGGTTTCCTCGAACCTGTCGACTGCGTCCAGGGTTATCGTCGTGCTCGGTGAGCCTGTACAGGACCTGGCCATCTGGGCATACCGCAGTGTCGGCGCAAAGAGCATCGACGTTGGCTCTGCAGTGCACTTTGCCCGTGCCGTTCTGCATCCAGACAATTCTTCACGTCCAGGAACTGGCACGAACGGAACCGCTTCTCCCCATGCAGTCCCCGACCACTCCGATACGGATACGGCGCTTATCCTGGCAAACACCGGTCAACTGATCTGGCACTGTGGCTCGCAGAGCGCAATCACGATACAGTCATGGCTTGCTCTGCCTCGTGCATCGGCCGTGGATTCGTCGTTGACCATGTCACACAGGAACAAGATCCCTAGAAATGGAAACTGGCAGGAACATATTGACTGCGTGTTTGACGAGATCATGGCCCCGGGAAGTCGTCTCGTCAGCCCTGATGCGCAGATTCAGATCGTGGGTATCGCGGACGGTGGGCTGGGCGCGATTAGGTATTTGGCTGGTCGTTGTATGTCTTCTCCTCTCCTTTCACTGCTATGCTCTCTCACCTTCAACCCTTGTTGGTTGGTCGCATATACAAACACTCCCAACTAATCAAGACGCGAAACAGGGGAAACCTGGCACACGCGCATCAATGCCATCTGCCTGACCAACCCACTCCACTTCACTCACCTCGAGCTCCGCACCAACGCAGATGTCGATGTCGATGTCGATGTCGATGTCGACTCCACCGCCGCCACCTCACCCACCTCTCCTCTTCCTGCATCTTCCTTCGCAACATTTATCGCCACCCGCTGCCGTGCCTACGTCCTGTCTGAAGAACCCATCAACATGCCCGTCCCTGGCGCCGCCGAGCACGGCTGCAATTGCTTCGCGTCCGGCGAGGCGCTGAACATCGAGTGTATCTTCCCGAGTGCTTGCGACGCCATGCTCGCGTGGCTGAATATGACTTATCGAGATTCTGAGTTCTGTGAGGCAGCGTTTGAGGTGGTGGAAGTTGATGGGGAGGATGGGGATATGTCTGCTGGGGGTGGGGTGGAGGTTATTTCTACGGGTTCGGCCTGAGGGTTGAGGTTTCTTTCTGTGCTTGGATGATGAGGAGTTTTTTCATCAAGGTAGATGGGGAGGGAAATTTTTCGGTTTTCGGTTTTCGGTTCTGAAGGAAATAGAGACGTTTGTGGTTTATTCTGGGCTGCTGGTTTTTTTTGGACTTGCGTTGGGTTTTTACCTAACCCAACTTAATTTGTAAATTCTTGCGATCTTTTCCTACTTGAATCTGGCTATTCGGAGATGTTTAATCGGTGCAAGTAATTCTTCGCTGAGTAAATGGATTAGGAAAAGAAAAGAAAAAGTTGTTGCATGCGTAGTCTGGGCTTGAGAACGGATACATATTGCGTAAAGTACCACTAACCTCTAACCTCAACAATGGCCACCCACGCAATCACCAAAAAATTTTTTTACTCATCCAACTCAACATACATCTTCCCAATAACCCCCTTCCACTCCTCCAACGAAATAGCCCGTTCGCCATACGGCACGTACCCCCTTGGAATCTTCCGCATCTTGTCATGATCCCACTTAGGGATCACCAAGAACTCATGGCTCTTGTCGCAGATGTTCAGCGGCAACGCGCCTTTTTGGAGTTTTTCGAAACAGTCCCGGTCGAAGGTCAGGTTTATGCAGTCCTTGCACCACCACATTTCGCTGGCGGTTTCCCAGTAATGACCGCATTCGCCGTCACAGACCGCGAAGATCTGTGGAAGGGAGAGAGACAGGTCGGCGAAGGGTGAGGAGGGGGAGCCCAGGGTTAAGTTTGCAGTTGTGGGACTAGTAGAGATAGGGTGAGGCTCTGGCTTTGTAGGGTGTTCTTCTCCCTGTCTTGGTGATTTGTTCATGGTGGTGTCAATTGAGGGAGTGGCTTTGCTTTGCGACTTTTCTGTCTTGTCGAGAGTCTCTTGATTTGGGGGGTCGGGGTGAGCGGTGTCTTGTAGATTCTCGAGAAGGGCTTCTTCTCGGCCGGTGTTCGTATCTGAGGATGACTGGCTTGCAAGTGCGGCCATGATGACTGCTGCGGATGCGTTCCGGTCGTCGTCTAGGGGTAAGAAAACGAGGAGGAGTCTCCAGTACGCTAGGTAGTCGTTGTGTTTATCGTTGTCAGACAGGATCTCCAGAGATATCTTGACCACGCTACGAGCAATTTGCTTCGCCTTGGCCTGGCCCCCTTTCACCTGGTAGTATCGAGATAGGTAAAGCTTTGCGGGGAACAGAATTTTGTTCTCGGCCACCTCGTCTGGGAGAATCTCTGAGATCCGGCGGAGGTATTCGTGGGCCATTCCTGAGTCGTGCTCGGCGGCTCTTGCTCGACGCAGGTAGACCGGGGCTAGTTTGATCGTGAGACTGGGGAGAATGTCTTCAACATCCAGGAATGACCGAGGGAGATCGTCCTTGAGAGCGATCTCCCAGAGTGCGACTGCGCGTTCTTCGTTTTCAACTTCCTGGGAGAGAGCGTTGGCAAAGTGATAGCGGATGTAGTACAGGCTCGTATAGGCCTGTAGCTCGGAAGCTAGCTGGATAGCGTCATCGTACATCTGCTCCAGAAGACTGAACTGCTCTGTCTCTATGGCTGTCTGTAATATGATTTCATGTATAGTCTCCTTAGTGGCTAGATTGACAAGCATGTCAGAAAGAGACCGCGCATCCCCGGAGGTGTCTTGGATCTTTCCTAGCAAGGCCACGATATCCGTCCATCGGTGTTGGCCCTGATACTGCTCAAGAATCACCAAAGCACGATCGTAGCCGGTGTAGTTGGTTTCGATCGATTTAGTGTAGCTCTGAGTGGCAAGATCGAACTTTTCGAGGGACCAGTATCTCTGTCCTAAGTCAAAGAGCATTTCGGCCAGCACTTTCCTGTGAAAGTCTTCCTGCATCCATTCGCTGTCCTCTTGGAGACGTGCTGATGCGTCTTCCAGTATATTGATGGCTTCGTCTGATGCAACTGCGCGAGCTAGGTAGAAAGAAGCACGCCAATTGGCTGCATCAAGCTCCAAGGCGTTTCGACACCGCCTTTGGGCTTCGACTTCGAATGAGAAGTTTTGTAGAACTGTAGCTACCTGTACTTCCCATAAAGAGTCCGCCTCTTTGGTTTTCAGTAATTTACGGCACCAATTTTCTACTTTGCAAATGCTTTCAACAGTAGGTTTGGACTGGTCATTGGGTGTTGAATGCTCTTCACACCTCTCACCATGCTCAATCTAGAAGGTTTGTTTGGTCAGAATCGTGTCGTCTCGCGGGTGAATTTTAAGAATGACAAACCTTGCGCATAGAGTCAAACAGGAAAGAAAAGGCGTTGCAGGCCAGAGGCTGAGGAGAACTCTCCCGCAGCCAGTGGACCGCCATCCTTTTTACGAATGATTCAAGGAGATCCATCTGGGGTGACGGGCTGGCAACAAGGTTGGTAATCCAACCTCTTTCCTTATGGTCAGAGATGCTCGACACTACGGCCGAGTCTCTAAACCATCGAAGGACTTCTGTCACACCATCGTTACTATCGAGCCATGTAGAGCGGGCATGCCACACAAATGTGGCTGCCGTTTCCAGGTCATTCGTCCACAGTAGTGCGTCTGTCGATGATGCGTCGGTAAACAGCTTGAAAAGACGAGGCCCGACGGCAGCTTTCCATTCTCGATCCACAAAGGCTAAATCCACCGAAGATAGATGTTGAAGAACGTAACTCACTGCGTAAGGCCGAAGGATTTCGCGCCGTTCATCTCTTTGCTCTGTTAGAACACGCAAGCAAGTAACCGCAAGCTTCACCTCTGCCGTGTCTTTGTCATCTCGGTATATGTGGCCACCCCTGCCACGGAGTTTCTGCTCGAAGAATGACTCGAAGCCAAATCGATCATATAGTTCTGGTGGACAAACCGTATTAAGGAAGTGGCGCACAATCGTAACTTCCGAAGATTTGACTTTCTTAGTGGCGTTGGAGGCAGATTCTTCTCCATCGGCGTCAAGAGATTGGCGCCTCTCCGGTATCAAATCCGTGATTTCATAAGAGCGAAAGTCAATGTCTCCGTCACTATCCACTTCAAACAATGAATACTTTATTTGCAACTTTGTCTGCAAGGGTAGAAGCGAGAGGTCGCCACTCTTTTGATAAAGCACGGCCGCCATTTGGCGCGGCTTGAACCACTCCCTGCCGTAAAGGATCCAAAGAATGATCTCATTTACCTCCGCAATCTCTTTGGAGCTAAGTGTTTGGTTTAGTTTCTCGATCTCACCTAGGATTTGCTCGGAACGCTCCTTTCCAGCACCCTCCAGCACTTGATCGATATCATGAACATAATCTAGAGTGCTGATATGCTTAAGGATTGTAATGATCCTGAAATAGTCACCTGCGGTCTTCTCACATAAACTCTCACTGATCTTCTGTCTGAGCTCTGGGATCCCCATGCGGCTTGTATCTTTGAGCGCCTCAATGTGATCCATCTTGGACTGCGTGTACTTTTCCACGTCGGACCGGTTCTTTGTGCTGATGGATATCTTCTCAAAGGACATGCCTTTGACGGCTCCGAGTTGTTCGAAAGCCCTTGGACGACCAGTTAGAAGAACGCGGACGCGCTGATGATCAGGCGTGAGTGTCGAGACTCTACGAAGGAACTTGACCAACGCATCGCCAATAATATCACCTATCCCATCGATGACGATAAAGAAAGTCGCGTCAATAATTTGTGCCAAGTCTTTGTTAAACAAAAACTGGTCCGGGATTTCATGAGGATCCAGATCGTTGGTTTCGTCGCATACAGCGGCTGCTAATCTCAAATACGATGCGTCGGCCTGCGTGAATTGCCAGACCAGGGATTTGATAATAAGATCCAGGTGGTTAGTCCTCTTTAGCTCCTCCTTCGAATCGCCCTCGAGAAAGTAAAAGGCCAGTAAAGTGCGCGAGCCGCAACTGTCCACCGAACTCCGATTCCGGAGTCTTCGTATTATCGTGGAGGCCAGGTAGCTCTTACCGGTACCCTCAACGCCTTCGATCCCAAGAATAGGCGAGCTCGTATCCTGATTCCGTTCCCAAGCCACGAACAAAGGCTCGGAGAAGCACCACTGTCCTGTGCCCGGTACGACTAGCTTTCGAAAGTTCTGATATGCCCGCTGCCAGAACGGGTCGGGCTCGTGTCTCTCACGGTCGAGCTTATTCTCGTCGAACGCCAGCTTTTTCAGGATGAGATCCCGCCTGCGCTGCGTATCATTCTCCTTTATTTGGTCCGAGCGATTTGCGATGAGCATGTCAATCTTATTATTCACAGCCTTGGTGATGGCTAGGTTCTCCTTGGTGCCCACAGCGGCTTGGGATGCGAAACTGAAGGTTTGTGCCGTGACCAGACGCCCTTCGCGATCGACCAGACTATCCATCTTGTCCAGCAAGTCCTGGATATCATTGTCACCGAGAAAGAAGAATTTGGAAAAGACCATCAATTTTCTCCGTTTCGAGTGTCGCAACTTGATGGTGCGATCGCATATTTCTACAAACAGTTGTAGATGTTGACAGGCAACCTTAGCCAGTCGGGCATCCATGCCACCGCGGATGTAGTACTCTAGCCGACTCAGATAATGGCTGCATTTGTCGAGCAGGCCTGCCAAGCTCTCGAACACGTCCCGGTAGCCCTGCCATGCATGGATGACAAGGCTCACGGCGTTGAAACATAGCTCGGCAGGGCCAAAGACCTCAATTCGCACGCAAACATCGCAATCAGCAGCGTCTTTTTTTAGACCGTTACATGCTCATAGGCTGATTTAAATCTCGATACGGTCGGAACCCGGGGAAGAAGCAGGTAAACTCACTTCGGACGCACCGCCCGCGACCACACCCCCGACAGTGTCAATGAACTTCAAGGTATTATCGACGGTGGAGCGGATAGCGCTTTCCTTCGGCGAGGAGTCTTCCAGCACCCGGTCAAGATGGGCAAGGACATTCTCGATGGTGAGGTTCTGCCGGATCTGATTGGCGTCTCCCCCGGCCAACTGGATGACACGGGCCTGGACTTGGGACCAAATGACCGCGATCTCGTCCTTGATGGCGGAGGTCCTAAAATCCTGGGGGGATTTGGGGGAGACGGGAGATATAGTCATGGTCTATGCGGCGGAAGTATATACAAAAACACGCACTGTCTGAGCTCTGAGATGCCAAAAAAAGAGGGTCTATTCAGAAAAAACCACGGGTCTACAAAGGGACAGATCATGGGAAAAACGGTCTAGGTCCCGAGGTTCGAATTCCCAAACCAATGAATGGTCACATTTTGGCCTCTTTCAACGAGGCTGTGTTAGGCTGCTTAGGCAGCGAGAGACCTGGTCTAGCGGGACGAGGATCGTATTTGTTCAGGGTCCAGGCCTCTGACTGCAGGACTTGCAGGACTTGCAGGGCTTGGTGGCGAGCATTGTCCCCTGAAGGGATGAGACAACCTGAGGGACAGATTGATCGGCCTGCAAGTCAGGGGTGATGATTGTCGATGAAGGGATGGGGATGGACAAGGAAAGTGAAGAGGGGGAGAAATGAAGGAGAGAGGAAGGAGTGATTAGTCAGGGTCTTGGCGAAGATCATCTGAGCGGCGGCAGCCCTACTTGGCTCGACTTGACTTTCCTTTGTCTTCATCATCATCTTCTTTATTCATCATCATCATGTGAACATCGTTCCTGACGGCGGACTCCGTTCCATCGTCCGCTGAGGGGAAAAGAAAACCACTCAAAGAAGCGTCCGGATCAGCAGGCCAAGCGCATGCCGCAACTTCCGATCTGAATTCGGGCTAGTCAAGAGAGTGAGCAGACTAAACATGTCGCTTCGCGATGCTTGTCGCAGAAGGTCCCGAGGGAAATCCTATCCGTGACCAACAACGTGAAAGTATCGAGTAACAGGATATGCGGATGAGGAGTTTCGATCGAGTAAACGCCGATAATTTGCCTCAGGAGACGTCCGATAGCGGATGCCGGAGGCGCCCGATGCAGAACCACGGTTGATGGGGCCGCCTTAGCAGGTCTGAATCTTTTCATCGGGAATTCGTCCTGCTCTTTGTCAGCCCCTCGATTTGCCTCCCGATGGGTAACAGTTAATGGTAGTATGTCCCGAACCGGTAATAGTGAGGGCATCGCCGATAGCCGCCTCTTTTTCAGGCAGCGCACGCCCAACAAATCCCGGCAGAATCATGGCAATGATGAAAGAGAAAGCGTATTCATGGCATCCGGAGCGGCACCAACGTCGGCGGTGATTGCTTATCGCAAATCGATCGAGTAAGAGATTGAAAAGGTCAATTCCGGTGGCACCGTGTGGATCCATTTTGCTGTTTTTTTCACTTTTTTGTTTTTCAAGTGGATCCGCTGTCCTGTTTTTATTATTGTTTTGAATTATTTTTTTTCTCCCCCCTCGGATCTTCGCCCGTAATTCTCTGAGGATTTTCCATCTTACTCGATCAGAGCCACTCCGTCTGGGGCAATTGCGAGGTTATAAATTCGGGCTTATCGCAACCCCGGACTGGGGCTTATCTTTGCTCTCCTCTCCATTAGTTTTGGCCTGTCTTTCTCTCACTTTGGCCCTTATCAGTCGTTTATCGTGACTCCCTTGCCTCTCTTATCATCGGAACTGTCCTTATCTGTTCTTTTTGTCTTTTGACTTGGAGCTGTTAGACTTCATCCATTCTCGTCGTTCTTCACTCTTTCTCCTCTCTTCCCCTTCTCTCTCTCTTCCTACCTTCTCCCGTCCTATTCCACGCCTGTTGGCCTCCCCTCCCCTGAATCATGGAGTCCACTCAAATTCCCTCGATCAAGGTCATCACCTCGACGCGCGCGGTGATTTCCGGTCGTCTGACATCTGCAACGATCGTTGTATCGCTCACCACTGGCAAGATCACCGCCGTCTTTGACTCGGTGATCCCGGCCTCGGACTTCCCTGAGGGGACCCCATACACCGACTATTCACCCTATGTGCTGCTGCCCGGTCTAGTCGACGCTCACGTCCACCTGAACGAGCCTGGCCGGACCGAATGGGAGGGCTTTTATACCGGAACCCAGGCCGCTGCCTTTGGGGGTGTGACCACAGTCATTGACATGCCCCTCAATGCCATCCCACCAACCACCACGGTGGCCGGCTTGAAAGAAAAGCTGTCGGCAGCTAACGGCAAGTGCTGGGTCGATGTCGGCTTCTATGGCGGCGTCATCCCCGGAAATGCCCACGAACTGAAGGAGCTCGTCAACCAGGGCGTCCGCGGCTTCAAAGGCTTCCTGATCGACAGTGGGGTAAGTATCCTTCCAAGAATCTCATAACCCAACGTATCAGTGCTCACCGTGTCTTCTAGGTTGATGAGTTCCCTGCCGTCTCCTCGGAAGACATTCGCAAGGCTATGGTCGAGTTGGCCGATGAACCCACCACCCTCATGTTCCACGCCGAGATGGACCCGCCCATCACCGCGGCCGGCTCCGATCAGGCTCAAATCCCCGAAGGTCCCGCAGAGGCCTACTCCACCTTCCTGGCCTCGCGACCCTCATCGTACGAGACCTGCGCCGTGGAAGAGATCCTCTCCCTGGCCCATCTGGCCCCCAACCTGCCCCTGCACATCGTCCATCTGTCCGCCATGGAAGCCATCCCGCTGCTGCGCAAGGCCCGGGACCAAGGCATCCCCATCACCGCCGAGACCTGCTTCCACTACCTGTCTCTGGCGGCCGAGGAGATCCGCGACGGAGACACCCGACACAAGTGCTGCCCGCCGATTCGCTCGCAGTCGAACCAGGATCGTCTCTGGGCCGAACTGGAACGCCACGCCGAGGACGGCGTCATCAAGACCGTCGTGTCCGACCACTCGCCCTGCACCCCAGACCTCAAGCTCCTCCCGTCGCACGTCCCTGGACCCCACGAGGGCAACGAAGACCCTGCCGCCACTGTCGATAAAAACCAAGGCAGCTTCTTCTCCGCCTGGGGCGGCATCTCCTCCGTCGGCCTGGGTCTCCCCATCCTCTGGACCGAGCTTAGCCGACGCAAGGGCCTGACCGCCTCGCCCGAAGACACCAATACCAAGCGCGCCCTGCAGGACATCGTGCGGCTCTGCTGCGCCAACACCGCAGCGCAGGTGGGTCTGGAGCGCCAAAAGGGGGACCTGGTGCCGGGCTTCGACGCCGACATCTGCGTCTTCGACGACACCGCCGAGTGGACCGTCGAGCCTAGCACCATGCTCTTCCGTAACAAGTGCTCGCCCTACCAGGGCCGGACCCTGCGCGGCCAGGTGCGCGAGACGTGGCTGCGTGGCGAGAAGATATTCAGTCGGGACGAGGGCTTCGGTAGCAAGACTCCGGCTGGTACTCTCCTTTTGGAGAAACGGGTTTGAGACCCTAGTTCTGTGCTTTGTTCTCTTTTTTCTCTCTCTCCTTCAGAATTGCCCTCAAGGGTGATTCTTGAGACTCGTTGACAAGACGGACAGTCAATCTTTCAACAACCAAACCAGAAAGAACAAAAGACACAAGACAAGAGCAAACGACACGACACGACACGATAGATCGCTTTTTGATGATCACTAATGACCGCTTGGTTTTTTTTTTTTTCCGTATTAGACAGCAACCATCATTCCCCACGCACCTTGATTACAAGAAGCGATGGCGTAGGCTTTGCGCTTTGCTTCTGTTATTCGACCTTTTTGATCTATTTTTAGCTAGCTGCCATTATAGCTTTTGCTTTTTGATTTAATAGAGGGAAATAAAACATGATAAAGCTTAATACTTTCGCGTTTTCCACAATGAAAACCGTAGATTTTGATGAATGGAAGTAGGTAGTCCTCTTTCAGTTCGTGTATCATAATTTCTCATTGTTCCGTTTTAGATTGGTTGAAACATATTGTACACATCTGAGTCGAGAGTTTTGGCAAGACTCGACCGAAATTTGAGAGTTGGGGTATCAAGAAGAACTTTCTGTCCTAGTCATGGTCAAAAACGGGGCAACCTCGTCAACTTACGGTCATTGCCCATCCTCTGCATTCCCTTTCTCCTCCCACCGTTCTCGTACTCTCCTCCGCAATCCACCATTTGGTCCTCTGCCCCAGATCTCCTCCTTGTCTCCGTTGGTTTGTATGTCGGTGACGTCTCCCCTTTCTCCCTCTTCGGCACCATTTTGTTTTCCCTCGTCACTCTCCACCACGACTTTTCGTTCTCGGATGCGTTTTTCGCGCGCCCGCGCCTGCTCAACTTTGCGTAAATAGATAGCGTAGATCAACACCTCCGCGACGCCGACCATCAACGCCACGAGGAGCGATAGCAAAACTCGCACGGGCTCGGACACGCCGCCCTGCGAGCCGGTTCGGCCCGATGACCGCCATATCGTCGCCACCAACGCCACCAGTAAATCGGGTGTTCGGAAGCTCGTCAGCGCCCAGTAAACGCTGAACCCGGTGAGTAGGACAGAGAGGAAGATATTAAGTACGAGCCCGGGAGTCAGCGGATCCGAGTCGTCGGCCGGATGGTCGCCTGATGATTTCGATTCGTGGATCGCCGAGAGTGTCGGTGTAGATGATAAAAAGATGGACGCCGGGGATTGCGACGACGCGGCGAGGTGTGGAGAAGTCATGCGTTTGTAGGCGTCTGCTTCGGCGGCGGCGAGGAGACGGGCTTTTACAGCGAGGTATTCGGGACTCTGTGTGGGGTTGGGTATCAATACAGGGAACAGCTTGGGTGAGATGGCGTGAAGTAGCTAGGAGGCAGAGATGATGGTGGTGGTGACATGACGTACGGGTTCGGGCTTCGGCGGCGGCGGCGGAACGTACACCTTGGTCCCGTGGAGGAGCGAATTTAGACTCCGGTCATCGCTGGTGGTGGTTGTGCCATGCCTGGTTCGAAAATATCGAGCCAACCGGATTAACTGGTCATGGGCGATCGGGGTCTCTAGAGATAAGGTGTTGGGCAGGTCAAGCTCCTGGCGGGAAGAAGATGGGACATCCTCGAAGGCCGAGACGATGCGAGGCGTGGTAACCAGGCGGACCATTATCGAAGGATAAGTAAGGAAGTATTATCGGCAACAGTCCATGGTCGATGGAGAGCAGGGAGGATGGAGTCGAGAGTAGAGGGGAGAAAGTAGAGATGGGGAAACGAGAAGGGAAAGACATGATGAAAGCACGGGGGCCGCCATGCCCGAACAGGAAACCTGCTTCCCCCCACATCGACTTTACTTTCCTTCCTTCGTTTGGCGCTCGTCGGCTTCACCTCTGTCGACTAGAACCTCTCGGTGCTCGTCTACACCGTCATAATGGCTGACAAAGAATCCGGCCCGTATGTTCTCCCTTCCTGAATCCATCTCACTCACCAGCGAAAATCTGAATATTCTCCTCTCCCCCCCTCCGCCCTCCAAAAAAACTCCTACCCTATACCCCTCCCTCCAACCAACAAATCCACCCACCACGTCTAACGAACACCACACAAACAGGTCAGTAACGACGCAAACAAACCCCCGCGGTATCCCCGTCGCCCCCTTCGTCGACAATGTCGGCGACTACGTGTCGACCCGCGCGGACGTCGAAGCCACGCTCCGCTCGTTCCAAGAGATGATCTCGAAATACCAGTTCATGGAAGTCAACACGCAACGACGAGGTGCCGGCCTGCGTGAGAAGATCCCCGACATCCGCAAGACGCTGGAGATGGTCAAGTTCCTGAAGCTGCGCCGGGACGCGCAGTCCGGATCGCTGGAGACCAACTTCGAGCTGAACGACACCCTCTATGCGCGCGCTACCATCTCCCCCGAGGACTCGGAGGAGGTGTATCTCTGGCTCGGGGCCAATGTGATGCTGTCGTACCCCATTGCCGAGGCGGAGACCATGCTGCAGGATAAGCTGGTGGCGGCGGAGAAGAGTCTGTCGTTTTGTGAGGAGGATTTGGAGTTCCTGAGGGAGCAAATCACGGTATGGTTTATCCTTTTATCCTCCCATTTCCGGCTCCTCTGGGTCTGGTCTTGTTGATTGGACATTGGCTGACGCTCTTAAAAACAGACATTGGAGGTGGCTACTGCTCGTGTTTACAACTGGGATGTGGTACAGCGACGGAAAGAAAAGGCCGAAGGGAAGGGAGACGATGAAAATGAGAAGGGCCGCCCTGGTGGTTAAACTGCTTACGACGTATTTCCGCGCTTCAAATTTGCTCAATCTTGCATCTTTTCTTTCTAAACTCTTTGAAAAACATTCACCCATTCTTCTCTTTGTGTATATTCCCGGTCAGGTTAGATGAGCCCAAATAAAAGCGCTGTATCAAGGACTGTCTCTAGGTTTCATCTTAGGAGGTTCGTTTCATATGTTTGTATGGTTTCTGAGCCTAGTACCTCGTAAAAACAGTATATCATAAGCTAGTAAAGTATAAATAAGCTTGCCATCTTTGCGTCGTCGCTATAACAGATCAACAAACATTAGAAATATTAGCAAATTGGCTTGTATAGCCACTGTGAGAAGTCATCAATCATCACCCAAACTCTTCCTGTAAAAAATTACCCAAGCTAGGAAAAAAAGAAAGAAAAAAGAAAGAAAAAAGAAAGAAAAAAGAGAGCAAAAAAAAGCAAGTGACAGCAAACCAAAGCAAACCAAAGAAAAGCAAAATAACACAACACAGCACAAGCCCTATCCATGCAATCTGTATCAAACAAAAGCAATCCCAGGAAGTAATCAACTTAAAAAAAATCATCAGTCGTAAATCAAAGAAAATTCACCCGCTGAAGCATGTTCAACAAATATGCAGGGGTAATTATGAATCAGGCATGCAGCTAAACCCTGAGACCCGGGTACTTGGTAATAGGTTCAGGTAGCATGTCTGCATCAGATACGGCTCTATCTCGCACACGTCTGGATATGTCAATGTCCGTGTCGTCGCCGACAAATGTCCACTCCTCGGAATCACCGACGTCCTCGTCTTCATCTTGTTCAGCCATGGTTTTGGCCGAGGGCGTTGGAGAGAACGGTGTGGACGAAACGATCGAACGCTGCCGAGCTAGGGTTGTAGCATATTCAAGGTCGCGGTACAGTGCTTGAATAGCAGTCGCCACTCCATCCTCCTGTACAGGCATTAGAAATCGCTCGGGTCATACGAAGCAAAGAGAGGTCACTTACACTGCGAATTTGTACACCCAGTTCTCGAGCCTTCACAATCATACGCTCGCTGTGAGTGGCCTCCCACAAGGCTCGTGAAAATACGCTCACGTTCAGCCTCTTCATACAAATCCCAACACCCAGATCTTCAACGCGGGTCCCAAAGAAGAACTGGTCCCCAAAGAACGGTTTGATGATAGTTGGAACGCCCGCTCGTAAACTTGCTCCAGTCGTTCCGGCGCCTCCGTGGTGTGCGGCTGCGTCGATCTGCGAGAAAAGCCAATCGTGAGGGGCCGATTGGATTTGAATGATTTCTGGAGGAAGGGGAATTTCTGCCTTCGCACTGGCAGGATCCCCAAGACGGTCTGACCAGCCCTTGGACAGAATGCAGCGAACATCTGCCTTTTGAACGGACTCTACGACGGTCCGTGTGAGAGCAGACGGGTCTGACACGACAATGGAGCCAAACCCGATGTACACAATCTTTTTGCCATCTTTTCGCGCTCGCTGAATGAACCTAGTCAGCTCCGCGGGCGGAGTCCAGTCCGTTCCTTCGCTGAGAAACCAATACCCGGTTATCCGGATCCAGTCGGGATAGTCGAGTGGCGGGGCGACCACCGAAGGAGAGTAGTTGTAGAGAAATGGGACTTTGTTGGGTTGCATCTTATCCAAGTTTGTCGGTTTCAAACCAAGTTCAGTCTTTCTCCATCGATTCACTTGCCCCGCGATTGCCTTCCAGAAGACGTTATCAAACATAACGTAGGTGATATAGTTGTAGGCACCACCCATCTTGTGCTCGGGAACAGCGAAAGCATGTGGGTATGCTCGTGTCCTAGTCCAGGGCATCGTGAAGGCGCGGAAATACGGGATTCTCAGTGCCTCGGCAATATGGATCCCTGCCATTGCACTGGGCGATTCGATGAGGAGATCGCTTCCTTGGCAGCTTTTCCATGCAGACGATAGGAGGTCGTCAATCCAGCCTCGAAACTTCAAAGATGCTTCCCTTAAGAACGAGTATGTGAACATTCCGTTCTCCACGCAGATTCGCATAAGTTCTGCCGGGTCTCCGTCAACCGGAGCAAAATCAATACCGTGCTTCCTCACCCAAGGCTCGAATTCCGCATGTGTTGCGATTTTAGGTTTGTGGCCTTCGGCGAGTAGTCCTTTGCACAATGCGATGTATGGTTGTACGTCACCGCGCGAACCAATGGTAAGGCATGTGATCCTCAGTGACTCGGAGGGTTTGAAGTTGATAATCGAAGCCCGCGGGTCATCGAAAATGGGATGAAGCTCCGAGGACTCTTCTAACGAAACCTGGGTGTCTTCGCTGTCGATAGTGCCCATCCTAGCTTCCTGTAGCATCAAGTGCTCTGCCTTTGCGGCATCGGATTCGTCCTTCTCCTGTTTTGCGAGCAATCCCGACTCTGCTAAAAACCTGACCGACTCGAGTCCCTGATGCAGCGTCACGGCACAATCATCCCGAGCGTCGGACGCATTGAACTCGAAAAACAGTTCTTCATGTCCTCGGATGATGATGACAAGCCCGTGGTAACCGAACCGAAAGCCCTTTTCTTTCTCAACGTTCTCGACATCCTTCAGGGGAAGGATCATTTTGGTACGGGTCCCGGGGATCAGGCTGCGGAAGCAGAGCTTTTTCTGACTGATGTAGATCTTGCCATACAAGGGAAGGACGCGATGGAGATGGGCGAAATACGTTGCCTGAAGCCTCTCTGTCGGCGGAAGTGCGAAATGAGCACGGAACCGGTCCCCATGCTTGCAGCCATCTTCCCTGTCTTCGGGGTCAACGTCCTGATCATCCGGCAGTATGTCTTCTCCTTCACCGTAGTGCTGGCGGCCACCTGCCCACATTCCCGACACTTTTTCAAAGTATCCCATCGATTCGCTGGCCAGAAGAGTACTCATTTGCTTTGATCGATTCTTCAAGTATCCCGCAATTCCCGCGGCACGTTGAAGAGGATAGACCCCGGCTCTGACAAGCTCATTCAGAGAAGGAGTAGCGGTATTCGTCTTGGAAGAATCCTGCACTTCCAGGTCCGATTCGCTAATCCCGTACTGAATTTCTGATTCGTTCCGTTGGGGGATAGCCAACGGATTAACGGGAGTATGAGATCCACATCGCGCTGTGTCACCAGAGTACCGGCGTTCAGCCTTCTCTGCGCCAGAAGGCCGAGCTCCCAGGGTGTGTATTGTTGGGGACTGGAAAACATCACTTCGGGTTAGAATCTGGCTAGCCGACTCTGTTGTGTCTGTCATAGACTGTAAGACAGCTGAAGATTCAGCTGCGTGCTCAAAGGAGTTACAGAAGGAGTCCGATGGATCACCATGCTTTGTAGGAGGGGACGTCCCAACTACGTCGTGACCGAAGCTGATATGACTAGTGCTCGCGCTTCTGCGCCGTTGAGAGCTAACATTTCCTATCCCTCGTGGCTGACTCAGTGCGCTGCTCAGTGACCACCTATTCTGAGATCCCCGCGAACGTCTGGACTGAGTGGCGTGGTCCAGCCTGGGCGATAAGGCCTGAGACTGTTTTGTCGTTGTTTCGTGGGTGAGGCTTTTCAAGAAGTTGAAGGCGTCTTGACCGGAATTGAAGAACGAGAAGTAATACTGCCGACAGTTAGTGATGAAAATATTCATACTATTTAGCCAAGACACAAACCTCGTCAATGGCATAGGTTTCCCTATCAACAACACGTATCTTGAACGTATCGGCAAACTCAACCATGGGGCTTTCTTCTATGTCTATGATATTGTCAATCGGAAAGGATATTTTCACGCTGTCGCCGTCGTTGTGTGTCCGGAAGATGACTTTCTGCAGCGATTTTACCCACTCTTTGGCGCTGGCCTGGCTATCCGCTCTGAAATAATAGGTCCGCTGGTCGGTGGTCACTTGGAAATCCTTCGTCTCCTTTCCCTTGTCCTTTTGCTCCACCAAAGAGGCAGATATCCCGTATCGGAGATCCACGTGACCACTGGGGAAGTAGAAGTTGGATGGATCGGCATAGAAAGACAGAACATCCCCCTTCAACGAGAACCAATAGCGAGTGTATCGGAGATTCTTTCGGCCACGTTTGTGGAGCCAGCCGGATCTGATGGCGACGGTTGATTTTCGGGGGAGATAAGCGTAGAAGCAGATATGTCCTTCGGTGACATACATATACCCTTGCAGAAGCATGCTTTGTAGTAGAGAGCAGGCATACTCAACGACAATCTTCTCCGGAGACTCATAACCAAACATCTCCATTAACCTAACAGAGAGGGCAGATGAGGCTGGCTGCTGTGGATCACGGTTGGTCCCCTCCGCCGTTGATGGAGGGTGTTCAGGAACCGCCTTGGGGTCAAGGAGGGCTTGAGCCTCCACCATGCGACTGAGAACAGGGGCAGCGCGAGGGGTGGCACTGCGCGGACGCCTTGGAGATGGGACTCCGGGCAGCTCATCGCTCGGCGTGGACTCGGTTTGTATTGTCTGTTCTTTCCCTTTACGAAAGCTCGAGGCTGTCTTGAAAGGCCGCAAAAGCCTGTTCTCCGATATCGTCCTGCGATGACGGCGACCTCGTTCCTCCGGCTGCGGCTTGTTGTCCGTCGGCCGGTTGGAATTCTCGGCTTCCTTGAGAGGTGTAGCGGCCGCAGTGGGTGGGATCTTTCTGCTTGGTTTCTTACAACGTCCCTCGGCCTCTCCTTCACTATCACTTGAGTCGTCGAAACGCGTATGGAAGTCGGATTTGGAGCCGACGGCGGCAATCATAGAAAATATTGACTGTTGCATGTACGGTACGTGACCATCGCGAGACCCAGTGGCACCAGGCGGAGCGGTGAAATCGACCTGGGAGTCATGGTCATCCTTTAGGCGTTCCGGCAAAGCACTGGAAAACATCCGGCTTTTCGATAAAGATTGTCTTCTTGTACTGAGCTTATGGTCCACCCGCTTTTTGGTATCATCCAGAAAGGGTCGCATTGTCGGTGATTCAAACGAAAGTGGAGGGCAAAAGGAGCGGAAGGCCGACCAAGGTCAAGGAAGGAAGGGATAGACAATAGCTGTAGGCAGGAAGCGTCCCAGCAGGTGACAGCCACGAATGATCCGCTCCTTCAGAGAGAGCGTGATCGCCAGTAAAGTTCTCGAAGTCACGACGAAGACGGGGCTCTCGGACCACAGATGTGAGCCTATAACTATAAAGCAGATGATGGTACCGGTTAGTGTATATCATCATCCATCAAGGTCAAGCAGTGTTTTGAGTTCTTGGGAGAAAAAGGAAAAGGAAAAAAAAGAAAAACCACACAAAGTAAGGGAGAAAAAAAAGACCAGGGTACATACAGTAGGCTGACAAGCGACGTTGAAACCCGAAATAGTATCAGCCCGTCCACTATTCGGAGTAGAAAGTAAGGATCAAAGAAAGCGCGGCGAAAGGTCGTGATCAGGCATGACGAAGATGGAGATCAGACCGGATAGGAGGAGGGAAGTGTTGATGAAGGAGAAGGAACACAAATGGAAGCGGTCGAGGATCGTGCGTGATGCAGGCGGGCTTCTAGGCAGAGCGAGAGACAGCAGGAGAACACCAGAGAGAGAGCGAGAGACCGCAAGAGCCGTAAAGTCTGGCGTCACTCATCCGTATCAGCTGTTCACCCGGATAAGAGTCAGGCCAATCAGGGGGTGCGCATGTGACAAGGGGGACCGTGTCTCGCTTATGTCATCCGTCAGGACCCCCCGGTCCTTTCGGTAAATTACGGTATTGATGGTTCCCTGGGAAGCGCCGGGATGCCCGATTTTTAAGGCAGTTTGGCTTGTTGGACTTCTTTGACCCTCAGGGGACTTTGTGGTCGGCCGAGTCAGGGCTCCAGACTCCATGCTCCCCAGGTTATCTGAGGTAGACTGGGACAAGGACTCCGTACAGAATCCGAGGTACAGTACATCAGGTACAGACCTACCGACACGAGGCTCCATCGCCGAGGCTTAGTGGCCGCGCTTGGTTCTAGGCAGGCCCGCGGTTGATCGACGCCGTCTGGTGGGCCTGAGATATTAGTAGTTAGTACTAGGTAGGCACCAGGTCTCTCTTCAGTCTTCCCAGTCTGCCTTCAATATGATTCTCATACTGTCACTCTGCGCTGTTGCACACATATTCAATAACAACCCAATCAGAATAAAATGACCATCTCGAAACTAGCTCTTCTTGAGGTATAACTCCATTATAAGAAAACTCGTAATCTCACAATTTTTGGTGCTCCACCTATATACATACATACAAGTTTCATCTTCCAGGTATCATACGCCTGGATGCAAAAGCAACGTGCATCCACACCATGCCAAACGTCGAAGAAAATCTGATATTCATCTCTCATGCGGACTTGCTCGACTTCTTCCGCTTCTTCTCTTCCTTATTCTTGCTGGACTTCTTCTTCTCTCCGTCCTCGTGCTTCTTAGACTTCTTCCGGGGCTCGCCGCTAGCCGTGTTCTCTTCGGCCTCGGTAGGGTGTTGTTTACGCTTTCTTTCCTCCTTGTCGAGATTGGCACCCTTGGGGACCTTGAACGTAGGCGCCTCTCCCTCCGACTCTTCCGAGCTCGACCCGATCGTCTCGGCTGGTGCATTGCGGCTTCCCACGGGGCGGAACCGCATCTTCAAGTGCTTGGGTTGTTTTCTGGGGGGGACGACCTGTTCCTGCGCCGCTTCCCGTACTTTGCCATCCAGCTCTGATAGGTTGGGGATCTGGACCAGCTCCTGCACATGGTAGCTGTGGATGTTGTTCGCGATCGTAGGAGTATACGTCTGGGTCTTGGGGTCGTAGGTGACGAGCGTGTTCGCGGCCCCGTCGCCGTTGGTCATGCCCTCGGCGGGGATTCCGTATGCCACGCCATCGTGCTTCATGACGGGCTCGCCCTGCATGACCTTGGCCAGCGAGATCTCCTTGACTTTCGAGAGAGGGAGGGAGGCGGGTGCGGAGACGTGGAAGATCTGTTTGCCGCGGAGATCGAACAAGGCGGAGGCGACACCGGAGGAAGGCGGCGATTGTTTCTTCACGGATTTGAAACCGGAGGGGGCCTTGAATGGCTGCGCGGCGATGGTCTTCACTTTCGAAGACCTGGACATGACGGGTTAGACCACTGATGAAGACAATACGGAAACAATTGCACCTACTCGTCGGACGATTCTTCAGACTCGCTGTCTGATCCCTCGGCGGAAGAAGCGCTTTCATTGTCGCTCTCGCCTTCGCTGGAGCCGCTTGACGAATCCTGCTCCGATTCCGAATTCGAAGATTGCGCGGTCTTCTTGGTTGTTTCGGGAGAAGACGATCGGCTTTCACTCTCCGACGAGGAGGATGACGCGGATTTGGGAGCCATTATGAGTGCGGGGTGTTATGTGAAGAGCACTTCTGTCGACGCTCGGAGTTCGAAAGGGAAGAAAAAAAAGTTCGGCGGGCCTGCGATGCGGAGCGCCAAGCAACGAGTTGGGCTGGCTGTGAGGGTGACAGGCGTAGTAGAATATAGCCAATGCACAAGCTCAACTGCGTAATTAATGGTGATAAAATGCGAACGCAATGCAATGTCTAGAAGTTGAATAATTATCACTGGCAATTCCTGCGAGTGATAACGCGATAACTTTTTTTTTTTTTTTTTGCCCGACCCTCTTTGCTCCGCGGAGCACGGACCACCATCAAAAGTCCGCGGTCTGAATTATCGACGCTCGCAGGTCCCCCGCCAGCACTAACTCTCCAGATTTTCACCACGCTGTCGAATGGGCTGGAATTTGGCTGGAAACATCGCATTTTCTTGGAAATTATGAAGCGAAAGGCTGACAAACAGCCAGCGGCCGGTGCGTATCTGATCCAGTCTTTCAGTTGAAGTGCAGAAAAAAATTGTATACTGACATCAATTCTCCTAGCTCCGATGAGCGCCGTTGCGGCGCGCAAAGCTCGCCAGCAGCAAGCACAAGCTACCGTGACCCCAGTGAAGCCGTCGAAACCTGAATCATCCGGCGAACCTCCTTCTAAAAAGGCGCGTCGCACTCCCGAAAAAGAGGAAGAGAACCCGGCACCAGCAGTCCCGGCAGAGGATCGCCGCCAAACGAGACGATCAACCAGGCAAAAGACCGAGGATTCGAAGGCACAAAGCACACCGGAGAAAAAGGCTAAAGCGCCAGCCTCAAAGCCTGTCGAACAAGTACCTCCCCCTAGCACCTCGCTGGGCAATGGAAACGAGGACGCATCTGAGGAGGAATCGGAAGACCAGAATGACATTGCGCGAGAGAATGGAGTCGGTCCTGCGCAAAACGATGACGATGAGTAAGTCTCGGTCTTTTGTTGAGGCATTGAGAATTTGAGCTCACAATGTCCAGGTATGAGTCGCCTGTAGACACGCCGGCCCTCGCTCAGGAGGAATTCCCATTGTCAAGGACTCGATTGAACAAAAGCAATATCGTCTACAGCGATGAGGAAAGGCTGTGCGTCCGGATTAAAGACAAAATGGTTTGTCGTTGCGACAGAATAGCACTGTAACATCATGCTGACCCTTCACAGAGTCTAGTATTGCTTGGCCACTACGACCTTTGGGTGAAACGAGGTGTGATCAGTCTGATGGGCGCCAAACTGCATCCTTCGTCTCGAATCTACAGAGTCTATGCGCCCTCAACTCACTCTCTCCCGGTCATCAAGTGCGTCTCGAGCGTCGATGGTGCGGCCGAAATCGAGGTCAAGTCATGCCACAGCGGCATCTATCGTCTCAGGGATCTGTCTCCTCTATACCAACGGGTGTGGAATGGAAAAAACACATCCGCTGACAAGCTCACCCTGAAGAACGAACCGCAATCTACCAGGAGAACATTCTCTGTTGTAAGTGGGCTTCCTTTTCGCCGTCTTCAATACCAGCAATCTAAACCTAGCATAGCTGTATACATCGGCGGACGATTCTCTCAAGCGACACTTGCGGCCACTGCATCTGGAAAAGCAATGGAGTTCAGCTATCAAGTCTCTCTCCCAGCGTGGTGGACGGCTAAAGGCACTGATCTGCGGCCCCAAGGCTTCTGGAAAATCCACCTTCAGTCGATACCTCTTGAATCACCTCCTCAGTCCCGCCCCGCAGACTGAGACGCACTACTACAACACCGACGGCGTTGCGTTCCTCGACCTCGACCCTGGCCAGCCCGAGTTCTCCCCTATGGGCCAGGTCTACCTTGCACATCTCCGGTCTCCCGTCTTCGGTCCCCCATTCTCTCATCCCTCGCTCGACGGTTCGCAAACTGGCTCGATGATCCGCGCTCACCACATCGGAGCCACGTCCCCCAAGGACGATCCCGATCACTACATGCTCGCGGCCATGGACCTCATGGACCGTTATCGCGCCCTGCTAGCCACTTACCCCCAATGTTCTCTCATCATCAACTATCCCGGCTGGATCTTCGGCCTCGGCTTGGAAGTGGCGACCTGGCTGGTGCGCTCGCTCGGGCTATCGGATGTGGTCTACATGAGCGAGAAGGGCCCGATGGAGGTGATCGAGCCCCTTGGACAGGCCGCACACGAAGCCATGGTCCCTCTCACCATCCTCCCATCCCAACCCACCGATTTCGTCAGCCGCTCCAGCGCGCAGCTGCGCTCCATGCAGATGCAGTCGTACTTTCACCTGAGTCACGCCGACGGACTCCGTAGCCCGCTCTGGCTCGACCAGCCTCTTTGCCACACACGTCCGTTCCGAGTCTCCTACGCAGGACCCAACCAAGGCATCCGCGGCATTATGGTCATGGGCTCCCAGATCGACCCCGACCTTCTGCACGACGTCGTCGACGGCGCCCTGGTCGGCGTCGTCGCCGTTGAATCGTCGCGTGCCGTCCTCGGCGAGGCCGATGGGCCGGGACCGCAGTCCACGAACGACGCAGAGGACGAGGAGATGGAAAACGCCTCGACTGGCGGCTCAGACGTCAACATGGAAGGAGAGGACGAGAATACCCGCACCACCAAGCCCTCTAAAGCGCAACGATCCATGGACCCCGACATCGAAGCCAACATCACCCGCACGCGCAACGAAGACCTCCCGTACCTCTTCGTCGGCGCCGGAAGCTGCACCCCGCTCGACCCCCGCGCCTCGCACAGCCTCGGCCTAGCGCTCGTGCGGTCCGTTGACGTCTCGTCGCGAACCCTCGAGCTGGTCACACCCATCGCGGGGTCCGCGACCCGCCACGCCCTGGAACATGGGTACGGGCTGGTCCTGGTGCGTGGGCAACTCGACAACCCGAACTGGGCCATCAGCGAGGAGTACCACGCCGCACGAGCCGCGGAGAAACGGCATCGCGAGACGATCGAGAAGGCCAGGAAGGCCGGCAACGAGGATCTGGACCCGGCGACGCAGGCGCGAGTGTCTGCCGCTTTGAGGGACCGGGTCCGACGCGCAAGCAACGTGCCGTGGATGACGGTCATCGAGGACCATAGTCGACGACAGCGGGAGGCATCGCAGCGCGAGAAATCGCTGTGGAAGCTTCGCAAGAAGGCATACCCAGGGAGTGAGAGTGAGGGGGATTGGTAGATGATTATATTACTTTCTTATTTTGTTATATGATTAGGTACGTCCAGTATATATGTAACAATACATACCTGAATAGAGATATAGTCTTGTAGCATTGGATCCACCTGGAATGAGTGGAGCGCAAATGGGATGGACAAAGGGACCCTTGTCTCTAGTACAACCAACATTGGATCACCTGATTCCGGCCATTAGTGGCCGCCATCTCCCTCTTGGCCTTCCTCGATGGCTTTTTTTCTGATTTATCCGCTTCTACGACATTGCTCACCTTCATTTCCATGTCTCAGATGTCTGTTCCCCATGGTGCACCGTCACATGATGCCTCCTGGCAAGCCACTCGGAGAAAAGTGCGCAAAGGCACCCACAGTTGCTGGGAATGCAAGCGTCGGAAGATGAAGTGTAGATTCGATCCGCGCGTGGCTAGTGCCTCCTGCAACGGCTGTCGACGACGCGGCTCCGCGTGTATCAGCCAGGAGTTCCCCGAGGACATCGCATATGCCCTCGTGGGCATTGGATCTAGTCGCAGGGACGGCACTCCCACGCCCAGCGAGAGGGCAGATCCTAGTATTCTCGCGCCTCTGTCAACGAACATGGAGCCGTCGCGGTATCACAGGTCTTCCGAGGTCCGTCTCTTCCAGATTTCTTTTCCCAGTATGTCTTGTATGATGGCTACTGACTGCTTTCCAGCAATATCTTACGACCACCCGGAATGATACTTCACACCGTAAATATGAGAGTCTATCTCGGTTCTTGCATGAATTACTCCCGTCGCGAGAAGATATCGAGAGGATCTGCAAAGCCAGTCGCCACTCCTCCATCCTCACCCACGAATTATTGACTACGCCATACCCTACCCTCTACCAGAACGGCCTCCAAACGCCCGAGAGTTTATTGACGACCCCGGAACCAAACATGCATCCTGTTTTGATCACGAGGCACATGCTCCAGCTCGCTCTTTTCCTACAACATCTTCCCCCGGAACTTCACAAGGAGATTAAAGGCCTGTCAGAACCACCCAGAGCCATCATGGAACGTTTAGCAAGTGTTGCCATCTATCACATCACAACAAACGAGGAGCTTATTGGCAGCATAGAGAGCCTCGAATGCATCATGCTCGAGAGTTTATATCAGGTGAACATTGGGAACCTTCGACGAGGCTGGGTCGCGGGTCGGAGAGCCATGAGTGTCGCCCAGCTGATGGGCTTTCATCAATCGGATACCCCGACCCCATACAAGGCGCTCGACCCCAAGACGACGACGAATTACAGCCCCCAGCTCATGTGGCTCCGAATCGTCATTCTGGACCGCCATCTCTGCATCCTCTTAGGTCTGCCCCAAGGCTGCACCAACCAGAGTATGGCCTCCGAGGGCCTCACCAAAGACGACTGCCCCATTGGCCGTCTCGAGCACCAGCACTGTCTCATCATGTCCCGAATCCTCGAACGTAACGCATCCAAGCCCAGCCGCGCAGACCTGCCCACCACCCGCGCCATCGACCTAGAGCTACAGGCCGCCGCAGGCAGCCTCCCGAGCAAGTGGTGGCTGGTCCCCAAACTCGACAGTGCGTCCGCCGACCTGCAAGCCGTGTTCTGGGATACCCGCCGCCTAGTCCTACAGATCTGCCACTACAACCTTCTCAACCAGTTGCATCTGCCATATATGCTGTGCCGGTCCTCGTCCGCGGAGGAGAGCAAATACGACTATTCGCGGCTCACCTGCGTCAATGCGTCGCGAGAGGTTCTCTCGCGCTATATCTCGCTACGCAGCGTCAACCGCATCGCGTACAGCTGTCGCACGGTCGACTTCATCGCCCTCATGGCGGCCATGGCGCTCCTCCTCGCGCATATGGATAGCCATCGCGACGGGGTGGACAATTTGCTCGCGAACCAGTATCTGGGCGATCGCGCGATGATCGAGCAGGTGCAGGAGCATATGAACGAGATGAACAGGCTCAATTCCGACGAACTCAGCGCGCAAAGTGCGGATTTGTTGAAGGTGCTGTTGGCGATTGACATGGAGACAGGGAATGGGAGGGTGAGTGTGTTGCCGCAGGATGGGATGGGCCGGGACCAGGAGAAGGAGGAGGGCGTGGTACGTGTGCATGTTCCATATTTTGGAATCATTCGGATTGTACGCGTGGTTCCGACTAGCAGCAGCACGAACAACACCTCAAATCCACTCTCCTTGCACGTCGCCGACACAGCGGCTTCTCAGGACTTTACCGCACCTTTTGCGCCTCTGCAACAATGCCTGGACACTTCCTCCGACCCGAGTTCTTTTCAGGACCCATCCCCGCTGGCGCATCCAGAACTCGCCGCAGGCGGCGAGGAGTGGGCGTTTCAGGGGGTGGATATGGCGTTTTTCGAGAGCATCATGAGGAACGTCGGGGGCGATGGTTGATAACTGACGCAATGGCACAAGGATTCACCTGCTCATGCTAGGTTGGATACATTAGAGATCTCAAGATCAAGAAAGAAAAACACAACTAATTAGATCTCTAAATCTGATGTTTTCATTTTGGAAAAGATTCCCAATATTGTACAAGGTTTTTACCTTTCCAGAACCTCGCCTACCTACCTAAGAGTCGGTCAGATCTAGGCAGCGCTACCTACCTAACCAAAACCAACCCCCCTACCTCTTCCCATCGACAGCCTCCCTCTTTTCCTTCCCCTCCACAACCTCTGTCGCCGGCGTATCCCCGTGATTCGGCAGCTTCTTAAACGGAATGATCAACGACAATAGGACCGACAACGCCGCACACGCCAGAGAAAACGCAAACACGTCCTTAATGCCCACCATGTACGCGGCGATCACCGCCGTCAGATCGTCCCCGCTGAAAACGGTCTGGAGCTCGGAGGCGCCGGTGCTCAGGACCAAGGCAGGATCGAGATGGGATGATGATGCACTGCTAAGAAGCGTGTGGAGCATACGGTTGGCGAAGAGGGATTGCGCGATGGCGACAGAGTAGGCGCCGCTGAGTGTTTGGCACACTGAGGAGTTTGTTAGTACATATAGATGCAGCCCATAGGGATACTCGGATGCGAATTGGTACTGGTATTGGTATTAGTGATTGCATAGTGAGTACTTACTAACCATGATGCCAGTAGCGCTGGACACGTCTTCAAGCTTGGAGAAGCCCTGCACAGCCGTCATGGGGACCTGGTTGGAGATCCCAACCCCGAACCCGAAGAGCACCTCGGCACCGATGTACATGGCTGGGGAGGAGTCGACATCTAGGATGTAGATCAGGGCCATACCGGCGGTCATGATGAGGGCACCGAGAAGCTCGTAGGGCTGTGTGTAGCGGGTCTTTCCGATGACGGCACCGCTGACGACGGCTCCGAGGGCGAACAAGGCGAGGAAAGGGAGGGTGTTGACTCCACTTTTGACGGCGGACTGCCCGTGGATGGATTGGAAGTAGATGGGGAGGTAGAACATGACCTGGTAGAGGGCGGCGTAGGAGCTAGAATGGAGGAATTGGTGGGTTAGGTTAGGTAGTCATGGCCGGGAGAGAGATGCATAGCGAGAGATGATTCTTACATGAAGCAAAATAGGGCATTACTCCAGGTCATGCGCTGTTTCAAGATGCGAAACGGAGCCATGGCGCGAGGGCCCTGTAGCCATTCGGTAACGACGAAACCAATGGTGAGTACAATCCAAAGGACCAAAGTCGCGATGACAGAGCCACGGTTCCATGCTTTGGTCTGCCCACCCCATTGCAAGGCCAACGTCAAGCATACGAGAGCGACGAGAAGCAAGCAGAACCCCGGGATATCAAGGGCGAGGATGATCTCCCTCCAGGTGGCCGGGACACTCTGGATGTGCTTGGGGATTCGAAGGAACAACAATAACAGAACGACGATGAGACCACCGACGGGCAAGTTGATCCAGAAACACCATCTCCACGAGACCTCGCTCGTGAACGCACCGCCAATCACCGGTCCAAGAATGGTCGACACCATAAACACCGCCATCCAAGTTCCGATGAGAAGCGGATGGTTCCTAGGCGGCGCCACGTAGTTGATGACAATCAGAGTGCCTGCAAGGACCCCCGAGGCTCCCCAACCTTGAAGCGCACGGCCGATGATGACGGACACGCTATTCGGAGCTGCAGCGGCCACAACACTACCGACCAAAAATATCCCGACTGCGCTGAGAAAGGCCCATTTGACGTTGGCGTACTTGAACAGCTTGCCCCATAGGGGCGAGGCAGCGGCTGCGAGGATGAAAGTGGCGCTTCCATACCAGCCCACATCGTCGAGGCGGCGGAAGTCGGTGGTGATGCCGGGAATTGCGGTCGCGATGATACCGATCTCCAGGGAGACGAGGATGGTGCTCACGAAGATCGTGAACATGATGAGGGCGAGTCGCGTGCCAGTCGCATAATCGGGCGGGGGCTCGTTGAGGCCATTGTTGTGCTTTGGGGGACCGTCAGCTGGAGACTGCTCGCTATCCCGGGTCGAACCTGGCTGGTTTCCGTCCAACTCGGCCTTGTTGCTGCTCTCGAGGTCTGAATCGCCTGCCATGATGCTTGGATATTCGGTGTCACGGCAGCATGTCGACGGGTTGAGGAGAGTTGCAACTTATAGTCTTGAGTTCACAAAGAGCCATGGTGATTGCCATCTCGATGACAAACCAACACGTAAGAGGGTGAGGATGGGAGATGTATGGCGAAGTCCGCGATTGACACGGTCAACCGAGAAAACCAAACGATTCGACCGCCGTGATGTTGTACACTTGGCCCTACAGCCTTCGACCGCCGTGTGGTGCATATCTTGGCGATGTCGCACCGCCGCTCTGCTGACAAAAGCCGAGTAGTTGATTGCTAACTAACTAACAGTCGGTTAATAATATTAATCATACATCTGGCTTCGCCTATCTTGTACCGGACAGGACGAAGGCAGACCTAGGACCAAATGGTTGGGAGAAGTATACAGCGGGAGAAGTGTTGGCCCTGTTAGTGGAAATCACCTGGGCATGTTCACTTACGTCATCAGCAGATGGCGAAGGCAATTGCTTATTTTGAGGCATCAGATCGATTTACACCCACTCTATGTATGATAATGTACAATACAACATATACTACACAAGCCAAATCAAAGCATATATCCATACAAGAGAATCTAGAGAAATAGTAGAATACATGGTAAGAAGGTTAGTTCAGTTAGTTACATACAATACAAGCCCAGAAACAAACGGGGGGAAAGGAAAAGGAAATTGGATATGAACATGACCGGATCGTAATCATGATCATAGTACTGCCTTCATGTCGACAGAAAAAGAAAAAGCGTAGTGATTTATCATTTCCCATCGCCCTTCGTTAAAAAACGACATTCAGATCATGGGGCTCATGATATGATGCAACAAGCTGTCTGACAAAACACAGAGCCTCTTTTCTTCGCGCATCATCTTCCGACGAGACAGGGATAGTATTAAGAAAGACAGTAATAGTCATATCGCCAGGTTGGACGAAAAAAAGAACATAGCAAGCAAAGCAAAGGGGAATAGAACAGGAAAACTTGGACCAAATATCACTGGCCCACCCACGCTTGAAAACAGAGGAGGCTAGGTAGTGCCCAGAACAAAAAGAAAAAAAAAAGGCCGTAACTCCGTTTCCGATCTTGAGAGGACGCCATAAGTCTATTGGAACTGGTCCCTCGACGGAACATGAAAGAAGAAACAAAGACCAGAAAGAGAAGCAAGGTAGTGGCCATAGAATTCGGAGGCCTCACTGTTGGAGCTCAAAGGCAAGGGTATTGTTGAAGTCCAAGGATATTGGGGAAGGAGAAACAAAGGGTATCGGTGCTCGTATCTAAAACGTCTGAATCTTGGTAGAGCGATCGGTTGCAGGTAATAGCGGTTTATAGGATCTATGCGATAACGGACCGGCGGGGAGCGATTGGAATGGGCTTCGGACCCGACGAAATATCCAGCTTGGTCATGCCAAGATCACTATCGTCGTATTTCTGGAGTTTCTGATCGTTGGGGGTGCCCTTCTCGTTGCCCGACAAAACCGACCGTCGAGTATCTTCGTCTTCGCGTACCGTACTGCAAACAAATCGTTCCTCTGAGATGGGGACGGCTCCAAACATTGAACCCAGCTGTTGCAAAAGGGCAACGAAGTGTGCGTGAATTTCCGCAAATATGTATTGGTTGCCCACGATGTCCGAGAGGTTTCGTGCGCGAACCTGGCCGGGTCGCCGCATTCCATCGGGGTCGACGGTGCGTCCGGTGAGGAAAGAGGAAACGGGGGTATAAGGATGATTCTTGTTCCGATTGGAACTGTTGTTCTGCTCCTCGCGCCGCTTCTCTTCCTCCTGGAACTTTTCAGCCGAGTTGACGATGCCGGATGCAATGCGACCGAATGCCCTCCATATTACCGGACAGGCACGGAACGCTTTATTCGCATCCTTGCCGGCCAGCGCGACCAGCGCATAGCTGCGCCGTTTCCCGCGAGCCATGGGATCGGGAAGGCGAAAGATGTAGGCGACCGTGTAACCGGCATTCGAGTCACCAAAGCACAAAGGACCGGAGGAGAGACCGCGCGGGAGGAGCTCGCAACTCAACGTGCGGATGGAAGATCGTCGCAGAAGGGCGTAATCTGCGGGGTTGGGAGGACCGCGCAAGGAGAGATAGGTGAGAATATGCGTGTGGCAAGAGGCGTCCGACGAGACGGAAGAAGAGTGCAGGGAGTCAGGAAGCGAGGCATGCGTATGCGAGTCGTTTGGGCTGTCGTTATAATCGCAATGATTACTGCCGCAGGAGTAGACCAATTCCCTGGACCGCAGCACGGGGCTGGCATTATTACCCTTGCCGTCACCCTTGGGGGATCCCGGGGCGCCTGCAGGAAGTTGTTTGCTCACACCCTCCGGTAAGGTCAGGCTACAGCTGGCGCAAGTATCGCCGTCGGCACCTCCGACCCGGGTTATCTTCTGGGGTTCGGGAGCACTCGGTTGAGACTTGAGGAAATAAGGATGATCCTCGATCTTGGGCGATTTGGAACCCCCATTGACAGGCTTCTCCGGGGGCTTCGAGGGACTGAATTCTTTGCGCAGACCATGGGAGGAGACGGTGTCGTGAGAAGTCGCAGGGGTATCATCGGGAGAGGTGTCGGAATGTTCGGGGTAACATTGCGAACAGGAGAACGGGAGGACTTGGGAACAGATGATCGAGGTCGGGCCATGTACCTCGCAGAAATGCGTCAGAGAGAGCTAAGGAGAGCAAGGCCGTTAGTCAGATCCACGGGAATGGTACGGGAATGGAGGGTAGTCACATGAGATCATCACCCCGTATCGGTGGCAAGACAAGCGACCTGAATGGGCGCAAGCATGATTCACGGACGGGAGGATCATCAAGGGACGCATGCGCAACATTGACGCAGGTCGCAATGCGCCACCGTC